GCATTTATTATCCTCTTAACTGTATATTAACTAACTAGTTAGAGAGATAGAGAGAGAGTGTAATCGCATTTAATATCCGTTTAATTGTATATTAAAAAACTAGATAGATAGATAGATAGTGTGTAGAATCACATTTATTATCCACTTAACTGTATATTAAAAAACTAGATAGATAGATAGATAGTGTGTAGAATCACATTTATTATCCCCTTAACTATATATTATCTAACTAAATAGATAGAGAGAGTGTAGAATCGCATTTATTATCCACTTAACTGTATATTAAAAAACTAGATAGATAGATAGATAGTGTGTAGAATCACATTTATTATCCCCTTAACTATATATTATCTAACTAAATAGATAGAGAGAGTGTGTGTAGAATCGCATTTATTATCCTTTTAATTGTATATTAACTAACTATATAAATAGATAGATAGAGAAAGTGTATAATCGCATTTATTATCCGCTTAACTGTATATTTTCGAACTCGATAGATAGATAGATAGACTGTATAATCGCATTTATTATCCGCTTAACTGTATATTTTCGAACTCGATAGATAGATAGATAGACTGTATAATCGCATTTATTATCCGCTTAACTGTATATTTTCGAACTCGATAGATAGATAGATAGACTGTATAATCGCATTTATTATCCGCTTAACTGTATATTTTCGAACTCGATAGATAGATAGATAGACTGTATAATCGCATTTATTATCCGCACGATTCTACACTTTCTGCATCAATCTAGCTAGTCAGTTAATACACCATTAAACGGACAATAAATGCGATTCTACACTTTCTGCATCAATCTAGCTAGTCAGTTAATACACCATTAAACGGACAATAAATGCGATTCTACACTTTCTGCATCAATCTAGCTAGTCAGTTAATACACCATTAAACGGACAATAAATGCGATTCTACACTTTCTGTATCAATCTAGCTAGTCAGTTAATACACCATTAAACGGACAATAAATGCGATTCTACACTTTCTGCATCAATCTAGCTAGTCAGTTAATATACCATTAAACGGACAATAAATGCGATTCTACACTTTATCTGTCTATCTAGTTAAATAATATACAGATAAGCGGATAATAAATGTGAGTCTACACTCTAGGTAGCTAGCTAGTTTGTAAATATACAGTTAATGTACAATTAAACGGATAATAAAATTATTAAATATAGGGGAATATTTAACATTATCTTGTTAAATATAGGAGGATTAGTGATAAATAACACCGTTGGGAAAAATAAACATTTTTAGAAAGAGCATGATTTGATAAATTAGAAAGTTTCTATGTCTTCTTTTTTGTGACGATTATGTCCAAGCAGTGTTACTTAGAAGTGAATTCAGAAAACAGCTCTTCAACAGTCTTATGAAATTCCACGAAATCTAAATAATAAATAAAAAATAACTTAGTAATTTGGCACAGACATCAGGTGGAAACTTTGCTTTTAACTTTCATCAGCCCCCATTATAAGTCAGCAGCAAAATCTGAGGATTAACACACATGTAAAATTCTCTATAATTTTTATGTCACTTCAGCTTGAAAATGAGGGTTTAGCTTTAGATCGGCAGCGAAATCTGAGGATTAACACACATGTAAAATTCTCTATAATTTTTATGTCACTTCAGCTTGAAAATGAGGGTTTAGCTTTAGATCGGCAGCGAAATCTGAGAATACAAAAAAAAGATTTAAAGTTCTCTAAAAAAAATTAATACGGTGCTACTAATAAATGCGATTATACACTCTCTCCTTCTATCTATCCAGACACAAATGTGAATGCTTTGCTTAGATGAAATCGGGACTTTCCCATTTATTCTAAAGAAAAATCTGTAAACGTGCTCCTTAGGACACCAGTTTCAAATGTCGAGGCTGATTAACTGGCGGAAACTACAAGCCGGTTGCTACGGGCGACAAGATTAATGATCCTTAAGGATATCGATGACAATTATTAATAAAGGCTAAGTAGCTTCCGCTTGCTCCTCTAATGTTCTTTCATTAACATCTCATGCTTTCGGGATCCATTTCGAAGATACTACGATGACTAGGATCAGACACTTCGTAGCTTCATTACGTGTAGGCCCACCTCATTGCATGCGCCCTCTTGTGAACGGTAAGCAATAAGGCAATGACAGGAGGGAGTGCGATGTAGCAGTGACAACATTTTTCGCTCACGCCAGCCAACATCATCAAATTGATGTTTCTTATCATATTACATTGGTCCAGAAACGGAGTTCACCTAGAAACTAATTTTGATAACTCATATTTTAGTACTTATATAAGTAATTATTTATATGTTCAAAGATGCAAACTATAACATTTACATTATTACACAAAAATTTGATGTAGTTTACTACATGTAAAAAAAAATTAAAGCAATCGGAGACAATAAATTCTGCTAATAGTAATATTATATTAGTATTACATCAGTAATAAAGTATTTTCTCCAATGTTGCCTATACGAATAAAATCGTACCAGGCTAATCAGGCAAATATAAAAGTAGCATCTCTAACTTAATATGTACCTAGCAGACCAATTAATCAAACAGATATTTTAATATACCTTCACTTGTGACACTTAGTCTACCTGTAAGTAAACAGACACCTTCAAAGAGTATACACTTAGCCTACCTGTAAGTAAACAGACACCTTCAAGGAGTATACACTTAGCCTACCTGTAAGTAAACAGACACCTTCCAAGAGTATAAACTAAACCTACCTGTAAGTAAACAGACACCTTCAAAGAGTATACACTTAGCCTACCTGTAAGTAAACAGACACCTTCAAAGAGTATACACTTAGCCTACCTGTAAGTAAACAGACACCTTCAAAGAGTATACACTTAGCCTACCTGTAAGTAAACAGACACCCCAGAGAATGCAAACCTAGATCTCCATGATGCCGCATGCAAATAGCTCCGATGTA